GTATGTATGTATGTATGTATGTATGTATGTATGTATGTATGTATGTAGTACTTCTGATAATGCTTCTTATCATGTATGATAATGTATGTATGCGCGCTGAAGAACCCCTTTCCCTCTCATTTGTTGCCTACTTTTCATTGGGTCGAGCAGCCGAACCAACTGCGTCGCGGTGGTCCCGCCGACCACTTGATTGTGAGGAGCAGACCATCGCCGCTGCCATGTCCTTGGGTGTCGCCTTCCAGCTCACGCGCGGCCACCCAAACCGCGGTCGCGAAGGATGAGCAGATCGAAAACCGGGGGGTGACGGCCATGCCGAGCATGACTCGACCAGAAAGACATTCAGTTCCTTGAAGGATATTTGGCGAGGTGTTTAATGACATGGCCCATCGAATAATGTGTTGATGTACATGTTCACCGCACAAATGCTTCTTCAAAGCCTGCTAATTACACATACATACATTACATAACACCACGGGCTTGGACAGCGACAGCTTCACACTTCTTCATTGGATAGCTGCCGCCCGAGTTGCAGTAGACAGCCGATGTTTGTCAAGATCATATATACCATTTGCATCCGAGTGCCAAAATGCATTATATAAACGATATCAAACGTATATATATATATATACACACATGAATCAGCTATTCAGCAGAGGCTACCTGTGATTTGAGTGTCAAGGGCTTTAGCCTGCATCCGAATGCACTGCCACACCTGGAACATGCGTGCCAGGAACATCTTGCGAGACATCGGTGAGGAGGGGCGGATGGGTTTGCATGCCTATCTGCCAGACAAAAAGAACATTAAACAAACAACGCAAACAACATGTGCTGGAAGATGATCATGCTTGGACATTTGACAGTTTTAGTGCCCAGCTTTGACCCCGCACCTTGTCTTGGAAAACAAATCCCTGGCACGGATGCATCACGAAGATGATTTGATGTTGAGGATTTGTTGGACATGAACACTGCCAAATCCTTTGGGTGGCCAAGGCCACGAGTTTTGGTCCAATTGGCAAACTAGTAAACCGTGTTTCAGGCGTGGACAAACACGCCACGTCACCTTCCGCGCCATCAGAACAGCAAGTTCATGCCTCGCGTGTTTGTTTGGCTCTCACGCTCCCCTCACGGTGCTTCAAACGGTCCCACGGTGCTTCATGGAGGTGGAATTCATAGACTCTACGTTGAGGGAAGACCCCCCAAGGGGCCGGGCTGCCATCCACGGTGTTCCATGTGAGTGGGTCAGAGTGTGTTTCCTACCTGGCTTTGCTTAAATGTTCCCTATGGGTGAATCCCCTTCTGGGGATCATGATATTTTTAAAGGTTCTTTAAGGTTTTTAAAGAATACATTGCTTCAGTGTCTCAAATCTTGGTCAGATGTCCTACTGCGCCAGTCTGTAGACTAGGTTTTCGGAAACGCTGCTTAACAGCCTTTGACCTCATCTGGGCCTTACTGCCCAGATGCCCATCATGATCCACTTACCTCCAGTACCAAGTGGGTCACTGCTTTCTACTTTCTACGAGTCTCGTGTGGGTCACCTCTCCGCCTTTTTGACCTAAACTAACCCACGTCTCATGACCGTCCCGGTTTTGCTGGGTGAGTTTGTGGTTGATGTGATTTACTCTGCTGGTCTTTCTGGGTGAATCCTCAAACCTGGATCCTTCTCAATCAATTTGTTTGTACCAGGAGTCACATGTCCGGGGTGGTTTGGTTCGTCCCATCCAGTGAGTGGATCATGGGCATCCCGACTTCCGTTCGTTCGGCACCCCCAAGCTCTGTGACTGGTCATAACTCTTTCCCCAGTTCCAGTCAGCAAATCAAATGTCGACGCTCACGTCAGACCTCTGGACCTTCGATCACGACCGGTACCTCCGCCGGCTCCGGTCGACTCGAACCGCCTCGTAGGACGCTCAGCGCGGCCGCATCTATGTGCCCCTGGAGGCGACTGGTCGACGGTCGAGTCGGTGAGGAGTTGGGGGTGCCGCGATGAGGAGTTTGGGTGCAGAAGGAGCGGGTCCCAATGAGGAGGAGGAAAAGAACCGGCCGGGCAGGAGTCCAATGTATACTGCCAACAATCCAGTTGCATGAGAAAGAAAGCTCCTGGACGGTTGACCGCCTCGCGACACTCGGATCTAGAAGTCTTGGAAGTGAAACATGGCTTTCGTGGAAGAAGATCGGGTTCGACTTAGGATGGATGTTGTTTTGATCTTACTGATGATGATCTTTAGGACTTTATGCTGTAGTGATTTGTGGAGGGTGGAGACCCAGTTGGATTATGCATAGATGATCAGGGCTGAACATGTTCATGTGAGCCTTTCTTTTTGCAGAGGCTTGTACCCAAACACTTGAGTCTTGAGTGTGTTAAATGCCACAAAAATACATCAAGGAGGGCCCAAGGATGTTCAATCTCTCAAGGACAAGGGAGACTATAGATTGTACGGAACTTTGTACGTATCCTTGACTGAGGTGGGTGACCAACCCCATGGGGAGGCAAGTAGCTCTTCTTTAACGCTGGAGGCAAACCAAGGGGATTGAACATACTTAGCTAGCTAGGGTATCAGGGTATCATAGTATCAAGATGTACATTCCCGTTTGTTATCACAACACATGTTTTCCTGGCTCAGGAGTGTACCCTCTTTTTTATATATCTCTGGTGCGGTTTCTGGAGCAACCGTTTGAATTGGGAATTTGAGGGTCACCGGGACAACTCTCAGAGGGGATGCTGTATCAAACCCGCAGGACCTGCACCGCTTCGGTATCTCCGAGGAGGAGGCATGTAGCTTGGTATCTCCCGCGCGCGACGTGCTACGGCCAGGGTCAGGTGACGTCGCTGAAACGCTACGGGTGGCTGAAACGCCCGGGTGGGGCTCATGTTCGGAAGGGTCATGGTGTTAACCTGGTTGATCAGAGCAGATCCCTGAAATTAGGTTCTTGGTGTGTGTGTGTGTGAGTGTGTTTTTATTTGTAATGTGTTTTCCGTACTTCCTTTGAGAAAGTATATCATCGAACAGGGGGCGACTTGCTTCCAGGACGAGGACGAGTTTATGGTGTCCAACCATTTCCTCTCATGCTTAATTGTCACTGGCATGTCGTACTTCTTTAAAACCATTAGCCAACATGATGACTGTCATAACTTCTCTTGAGGTGACTAAAACACAGAAGGAACACACAAAGTCAAAGTAAATCAAAAAGTAAATCAAATATATATGCGGAGTTACAGGCGTCAGACAAGTTGATGTGACTTTTGGGACAAGTTGATGTGCTGAGTTCCATGCGCAGAAACATGCCTGCTAAGCGTTGATGCAAATTCCTGCGTTATCAGTAGCAGCTGCAGTTGCGACAAGACATGCGGCAAAACCGGCTGTAGTCCTGGTTTGCTTAAGGTGATTGTTGTTTGTTTTCCCTATGTGCATGGGCAAGTCCCCTTCGGGAGTATTTTTTAAACCGGTTCCTTAAGCAAATCAGCAAATCCAATGTTGGAAGTAATCATGCGGTTGAACAAGGTGTATTTTTCTTCTAAAGACTGCTAGGAGGCTCCGGAGGATCCGAGGATCCAGCTGACTCATCGACCAGAGGATCACTCACAGTGGACCGAAGGAGTCCGAAGGGTCCTATTCGGTCCTTCGTTGCGGGTTGCATCGATGTCATAGTAAAACAAGGATTGGAGGTCATCGCTATTAGGTTGGAGTCCATCGCTATTAGGTTAATTGAAGTCATTGGAGAACTCTCAAAGACAGAGGGATTGTTGACCGTTGACAACAACACTCAGTGACCGTGAACTGAGGTCGAGGGCAGGTGAACTGGCTCACAGCCAATACTATACTGTAGGGGTGCGTACTTCAGTCACGAATCTCGGGAAGAAAAGGAACATCAGTACTGCAGATTTGGCTGGCGGGGCGTTCCAATGAGCACCCCAATAAGCAGTGGATGGGACGATCTTTTCCGCAGAGACCAGCATTCACAAACCACAAAGTGGATTGAAAAGTCGTCACATCAAGAATGATGCATTCGACTTGACAAACACGTTTGTGCGTTTCTTCGCAGGTGTTGGAAGCCAGCAAGACACCGGGTTTGCTCCACCACGAGCAGAAGTGGAAGGATTTTATGGCCGCTTGGCCTTCAGTTAAGACAGTTAAGACTGTGAGAGCTGATGAAACATGATTGTCAGTCTTTCGCCGTCCAAGTGTTGGCTAGGTGTCATGGAAAGGGGGTAAGCCAACAGCACGAACGGACCGACATGTTTCTTGATGGAATTACATCAAGCACGCAGACCCTTGGATTGAGCCGGATACACCTGGTGCATCCAAGATGAGCAGGTTCTAGACCAAGCTGTATGGACAGCTAAGTCCATTCAATCTCGAGAACAGCAGACAAACCCAAAAAATCAAACGAAAAGAGGAAGACCGGCTGCAGTACACCTTATACAGAACGACAATCACTTGATTTCCGATTCGGTTCTTGTTGTTGGGGAAGTTCTTGTTTAGGGAAGATTTGAGTACTATTCAGCTCGGACTCTGCAAGAAAGGCGGGCTGGGCTATAAGGGAGGTCCGCAACTCCGAGCTGGGCACGTGTGGCCCGTATGGCTCTTTTTTCACGCTGAGGAGTTCCAGATGGCCCGGTGTGAAGAGCATGGAGACTCAGACAGGGAGTGGCAGAGGCTATGGCAGGGTACAGTAGGGATGTGGCTTTGCCATGCTCTCCATGCTTTAAAGATATCCCAAGATTAAGAAATTTGTTGATTTGGCTGCATGTTTTTATGCACGTGGGTTCATAATGGTTCATATATATTTGGCAGACTACGGAACGTGGGCACGGAACTTCATTCAAACAGATCAATGCGCGGTTGCGTACCCGTAACACATCCTTGAGAAGCCACAGGCTGTAGTTAGTTGTGAATGCAAGTGCAATGAGTGTCAGCAAGTGCACGCACGTTCTCCCTCTCCCTCTCTCTCTTTCTTTTTTCACCGCACCAACGCCCCCCCCACCAAACCTGCTTTCAAATGCCGCTCGGCCTGAAACGACGTCGGCCGACTCTTGGGGCGGACGCCTCCGAACCGCTCACTCACCGCCCTCCACCGGCACCTCACCCCGTGCCGCGCGGCGCACGTCCGCGCGGCACGGCCGTCTCCGTCCGAGGGAGTACCAGAAGGCGCAGGACGGCATCGTGGGGCTCAGCGAGGTGAATCGCTTGGGCGTCATGGCGCCTCGGCCTGCGGCCGCGGTGGGGCGTCGCCGGGTGGCCGGACGTGGGCGTGGCTTCGGTTGCGAAGAAGGCCGGTGAAGCCCGAAGCCGGCGAAGGATGTCTATAAGTATTTGGGTGCACCAAGAGAAAGAGAGAGAGAGAGAGTCATACCAGCAGTCACAAGGGGGTGCCTATTCGAGGATAGGGGTGCCCATGATCCACTGACTTGGGGACTAAAAACCACCCCTTTGTGACTCCTGCATGGTAGATATATTTTACGTGTTTTTGTTTGACAAGTTCATAAGGTGTGACATGTGGTCATAGAAGGTCATGATGTCCCACATTCTGTCTATGATCAGGGATCCCTACCAATCCATCAAAAACTGTCGTTCTTGCAGATCCCTTCTTTTTGGTTCAAGCCGCAGCCTTTTTGCAAGGGGCGTTGGATAGAATTCTTATACTTATACCCATCTTATACCTGGGCTGCCTACCAGTGCAGGGCCGTGCTCATTGGGTGCTGGGTGCCCGGAAGGAGCTATCCTCCACAAGGCCAGAGAAAAGGATAGTAGACCAGGAGTCACAAAGGGGTGGTATTTAGTCCCTAAGTGAGTGGATGTTCTGTGCACCCCTAGCCTTCATGGATAGCACCCCGACATGTGACTGCTGGGAAAAGGACCTTTTGCGGTAGAAGTTGACGGACCTGCACTTGAACCGACTCAGGCTGCGCTCTATGTGTACGGCAGCTCCGGCCACGGTTTTCGGACACCGGGCCTGTGGGGTGGGCGGAAAAAGGTGGTCTGGGCAAAAAACAATTGGAAGGGTCTTGCAGGATGGTTTTTCAGTGGGTTTTTGGGGCTGTAGCTGCAGCCGCGGTTTTGCTGGAAAAGGAATGAACAGGGATGATTTCTAGGGGGTTTTGGGAGAGTCCAACAACCTAAGAATCTGCTGGCCGATCTCGTAAGACTTCGCCGGATTTGCCGCGGCCCGAAACCATGGGTCTCCGGACCGCATGGATTTCGGACCTTGTTGGGTGGATTTGTTTGGGAAAAACAGGGGACTGGCAGGGCCCCTGTTCGGTTCTTGAGTGGAAGGAAAATTGAGCCCTTAGTGGTTGCTTGTACGAAGAAAACCAGGTTAACCTGCACTTCAATTCAATATGCTCGCCGTGGTGGGATTGAAACCGGTGCGGGAAGCGGGAACGCTTCCCGTTCCCGCGGGGGGCCAGGTGACATTTTGACTCGCATACGGAAGAACAACTATGATAATCTCAGCCAGGGGCTCAATGCGTCGCTCGGAGTGCGGCGGGGTGAACCACTGGAGAAGCGGAGCGAAGACCGTAGACCGTCCAGGTGTGGAGAGTTGTCTCATTTCCAGCGTAGAGCTGCAGCCATCCCTTTATAGCTTTTGGTCGTTGATCCGGAACCAAGAACTCAACGCACGCCCCCCAAAACTGCCCATTTGCTTGATGTTCTTGCACCTCCCCCCATGTCCGTAGTGTCTAGACTGCCTCTTTCAGGTCCAAGAAGTTGGGATTTAGCAAGCCTGCAGGGTGTTTTGAAACTTCGATCATTGGCTAAGCCTGCAGGGTGCATCCCACACTCAAGTGGCCCAGGATGCACATGTTTAGACCCACAAGGCAGGCTGCGCAGACTGTACAGGATCCCCCACTACTCTCCAGTCGTACCTCCTCAGAAGGTATGACTGGACCCTCTAAACCGGACCTCCTGGCACCCACTCCAGTCCCTTCAAAACGAAGGTCGCCCTAGGGTTTTGGCCTCCCCGAACCCAATGGCCCACCCAATTCCCAGGCCGACGAGCTTACGTGCCCTTCGTGGACAAAGTGTTCCTCATGGGAAAGGCCGATCGAATGCGGGTGACCCGATGGGTCGCGTCGGCAGCCGCGCCCTGTAACTTGGCGTGTTTGGGTGCTTCTTCAGGTCTCGGCGTAGATGTTTGAATTATCTTTGAGATTTTTGTTGGGCTCCTTGAATGGCACAGAGAAGGTCGGTTCCTATCTCATATCCTTCTTGCATCCTCGTCCGCGACCGCGGCTCGCAGGCGTGGCTCAAGTGTCAGGAGCTGAAAGAGGCCACGCCGTGGCGGTGACTCCGGTGTGGCAGCGAGTGGCGTTCGTTTTGTTGGGGGTTGGAGCTCCTCATGTGGGAGACACCAGGAGAACCTTTCAGGGTTGCTCCAGGTAGTTTGGGTGAGTTTGGTTCGCTTTGGTGTGCTGGAAGATTCCTCATTGTTTCAGATTTTTAGGATTTTTGAAGAATGTTGCATTTTGGTGCAGCTTGGCCATGACGGGGAATCGGGACCTATCTGAGTTGGTATGGTTTTTGGATGGACAGACCCTCAACCGGTTCTAACTGGCTGGGTCATACCGGAGGTACTACGTGTTGATTCTGATTCATTTGGGCTCCAATTCACTTACACTGGTTTCAAACTAGATGGCACAACCCCCAAGTTTGGTGGTTTATGTGGACCCTATATAGAAGACATCTTGGGGGTTGTGCCATTTACTCTGAAACCAGTGTAGATTGGAGGTATTTGATGAGACTCGGACGTGGGTGAAACCCAAACGTTTGCTTCTTGCAGCAAAACAACGGCCAGGGTAACCAGGAAGTCCCTGGATGGCTTCCTTTTTGTGGACTTCTGTTTTGACATGTTTGACCACCTCAGGCTCCTCAGGTGGTCTGGTGATGCTTTGTGACACCTCCATTGGTCTGGTGAAGATGTTCACTCGTGAGCGCCCTTCCATGTCCGGCACTTTGCTCACCACTTTGCTCACCTCCGCCCTTTCTTGCCACCTCCAGCGACAGGTGGCCAAGGAAAACGTACGGAGTGGCCGGTTTTTCACTCGGAGAAAGCCGCATTGATGCGTGGCGGAACCGCGGTGGCGGACCGCGGCGGGGACGGAGCACCGGAGCGTGCGAAGGAGAAAAGACAGGAGTTGACCGAAGAGGCTGTGCAGGGGAGGCTGTTATAGGCATTATGGGTCGCCAAACAAGTTCAAAAGCCTTCAAATCGGTTAGGCGTAGTGTATGCTGTGGCGCGGCTCTTTCACGGTAATTACCCTTGTGTTTGGTACTCGTACATAGAAGCTGCGCTTTCGTGGGGTGCGTGACATGAACGCGGTTGATCTTTTTCTGCCCTCCCAGAAACACTGAAACCCTATGAAACCCTAACACTTGTGCAGTTGTGCAGGAAAGGATCCTTCCACTGTAAGTATTCACCAGACCGTAGGCGACCAACCTCCAAGAGGTTCCTGAGATTTTGGCCCATGCTAGTGCTAGTTTGACTAGCAGATCTCAGGTTCCATGAACTGGGCATTCCTTGCTTTGGTCTAGTGCTGGTCCAGATTTCAAGTCGCATCGCGCTCGCGTTGCACACGGACGGTGCCATGAATTCTGCAGTTGGACAGAGATGGACGTGGGCAGACCCTAAAGGCCGGAGAGAGCCGACTCAGGGCTCCTCGCAAATGCCTCGGAATTCCTCAGGTAGTCAGACCCTTTGCCCTGCAAACCCAACCCCAGCAATGATATTGTGCGGAAGAGTGGAAAAGTGATCCACCAGCCCCATATGCTGCGCTCGGTGTCATCCATCAGCCACGTGAACCATGTTGTTTTTGCGTTTCACAGACCCTTAAGCGGTCAGCATCAGTGCCGGCGAGGGAAGTTTCAAATTGCTGGAAAGGGGGACGCGACCAATCTCACACTGTGCACAGGGTCCTGTTCATCGCTAAGTCGATAGAACTCCCATGAACTCCGCATGTTCCGTAGGGGGACTCGACCGTTGCTGCGGCGTAAACAGATGTCATGGCCGTGTAAACAGATGTAGCTGTAAGGTCTCAGACTTTCAAGGGATGCTGATTTCTCATCCCACCAAAAGCATTGCCAAGAAATTAGCGTGTATACCAGTGCTGGCAAGTGTCCCGTCCAAATAGGTCGTGTGGGGGAACTCCACTTCCAGATAAACGTGCGTCTTGAGTGTACTCAAGACACTCATTGTAAGCTCCAGGCTCTAGGCCTGGAGGTTCCTCCAGGCTCCACGGGGCTCCACGTTCAGGTTTTTACAGTTGCTCCACCAGGGTTGCTTCAGCATGCCTCAAGGACTCGATGCAGGAACTGCTGGTCTATTGGACGAAGAATTCATGTTGCTCTTGAAGCAAAATGAGGAAACACACACACACACACACTAAAGCTAGTACTGTACTTCATCTGTAACTGTTTGTAACTGTAAAGGAAGCTCACTGGTTGGTTAGCACACATCAAATATGTTTGATGGCTCTAGTGAGACTCAAGTGCTTTGCGTCTCCGCAGCAATTGCGGCTGAGAGAGGGAGTGCCGCTTCTCAGCATTCAAAGGATGTGTGCGTGTGACCGTGTTTGATGCCCTCAAGTGGCTTGAGAGTTGGTGTCAAAACCCCAAAAGCGTGAATATCCAAACGTACGATGCCGCTGCAGGGGGTTTGGTGTCCAGCTGCAGCTAGTAGCTCAGCTGCTCAGTAGCTCGGTACGCCTGAACTCCCATGGTTTGCATGCAGGTTCACAGAAGACATCCATGTCATATGTTTATGCCCAGTAGAATTAGTCAGAGGTGCTCTCTTGACCATATCCTTTGATGGCGAGGCAAAACTCCTCTCTCTTTCTGGCGTCGTGGGTCTGGCTAAACATGGATGATGATACTCGAAGCAAACATGGAGGTAGCTCAACATGGCGACACTTGTTCGATGCACAACAGGATTTGGACATAAAATGAAATACATAAACACAATTAAACACATCATAACTATATACACATCTAACGTTCCTTTGAAGGACCCATGGGATTTGTTCAAATCATTGGCAGAGGCCAGTCTTTTGGCCAGTGGAAAGACACAGACAGGGTCAGTCGTACAGTATCCGTGCGTCGGCCGTGCCGTCGGCCGAGGTGTTTCAAGAGGACACTTAGTTCGGCCAAGGATCTGACAGGGTCTTCACCTTGCAACGTTGCAGACACAAGCAGTCAAATCACAAGTGGTTGTCTTTACATGGTTTTTCTTCCAGGTCCTTCACTCATTCTCGCCACTTGACTCCCAGGCCGCTGCTTTGCTGTTGTGTTGGGGGGCCCGTGTTTGTTGGCCGATCTTCGCTAAGCCCATCCTGCGTCCTCCATCCTGGAGGATCGACGACCCACGAGCACAGAATTGATGGTTCCACAGCGTTCTTCGTCGCTCGTGCTCGAGCACACCCCGTGGTGCCACTGGGCGGTTCTTCTGCGGAACCCGCCGGTTCCCGCGTGCACGTGAGCCACCTTCAGCCATGCGGAACGACGTTTGCGGTGTCGACACCGTTGGGCCTGTTGAGTCCGTCTTCTGAAACATGGGAATATATATATATATGATTAAATATAAATTATATATGGGGTTCAGACCTAGATGCCTCCTGTGGATTCAGACCTGGACCCCTCCGCACATCTCCAAAAACCTTAAGCTGTATATAGATCGTTGAACCTTAGAAGCTAGGCAATAGAAGCTGAGCTGTAGTTTTGATCACGAGATCATAAGAGGGCTTCGGAAGCTGTGATCTTTTTGCTGGCCGAACGTGTTGGAATCTGTTTCAGAGGGTTTTGCGATCGTATGGGGATGGACTGGTCAGCCGACAGCGACACCGGCTGCAGAGCAAAGTGAGAGCTCGTGGCCCCGGGGTCCAATGATTTTTGAATTTTATAATACGGTCATGTGTCTTAAGCACGAGGCCTTCAAACACTCCAAACTCCCTTCTCATAGCAGGTTTATAAAGATATCGCATTCTATATGTTTTTTGCTTTCAGATAATCACGGTGGTTGCGAAGATGGCGGTGTTTGGGGAAAACACAACTTGAGAACGATCTGGAGGAGCAAAAAGCAATGATTAAGGAACTGGAACCTTCTTCCATGCTTTGATTTTGTGTTTCCTTAGCCAAAGCTTTTGTGTTCATTTTGGGGAATAAAGACGGAGTGTGTTTTCGTTCGCTTGTGGACCTGCGACGACTTTGTGGTGGACAAATGAACCGGACGACCAGAAGCAGAGACATCTTTGAGAAGCACCTAAACTGAACTGTTCAAGAACGCTGAATACCCCCCAAGCAGTGCCAGAAAAGCACTTGGTTGGAGAAGTACTCTTTTTTTTGTGGGTGTGTATCTGAGCTGTTTGGTCTTTTTTTATCTTTTTTTATGTTTCATTTTCATCGTCAATCGTCATGGATTATGGGTAAAAAACCCAATGAACACGCCCGAGTAACGTGGTTAGGTTGGTCATTTCAGATGAAAACTTGTATTTCACCAGTTTTTGTCCCCTCACCGTCGAATCGTTTTTTTGGGCACCACATGGCCAGAGCTAATGGCTCCTGGCATACATGGTCCTAGTATCCTGTAAAGGAAACACAATGTGTCAGAACCTGTGGTTTGGGGTATCTCGTTTGAGACACATCTGGTCAAGCACCTGGTCAAGCACCAGGTTTGGTTTGTGGCGCAAAAAAACATCGTCCGTCACGCTGCTCATTAAACATCTCCAAACGTGGTCATCGGAAGACAGAGGTGAGGTAAGGAATCCAACTGATTCAAGTTTATCACCGAAATAACGTGTTACTTTTATTTTGGGCTCATGAATTTCCTTACCCCAAAAAACTAATGGACCTTAGTTCACCATGAGAATACAGAAGATGAGTCCCTTCATTGGAGCTGACAGTGATTCAATCAAACACATGTACCTATACTGCTTTTTGGCATAGCAGGCGTAGCAGTTCTGTAATCATGTGGATCATCCAAGATGACATCCAAGGACAGAACTGTGTTTTGGTTTGAATCTTGTCAAAACAAGCCGAAGGAAACACACTTTTGGCATATGGTAGTCCTAGTAGTGTTTGGTGTGATCAGCGGCTGGGTTTGGGGTGTTATAAATACCATCCTTGGCAAGGCGCTGCAAGTTGGATTTTTTTCTGTGTTATGAGCACATTGTATACATGTATTGAGATCAACAGACGTAACATATATATATATATATTAATAATATATAAGTGCTAGTCTATTTTCTAGGGATGACTGGCCGTTTTTGTCGCGTTTGCATAACGCTGCCAGTGCGCTGCCCAATTTGCGGCTTAGCAGAGAGAAGGAGACAAATATATGGATCCGCACGAATGGTTCTGGAATTTCCTTTGTTGATTCAAGCCTATTCAACCCTCCAATCGATGTGGAGCATGGCGAAAACACCCATCAACACTGAGCAAAAGCTTGACCTGTCCGAAGGTGATTTGGCAAGCATCCATGTTGACGTGGGACAGCCATAAAAGTTCTCGTTGACTGTGTGACCCCAGTGCCTGGCTAAGAATCCCACCATGCCGCCCAAACGAACGGCCGGAAGCGATGAGGCGAGTGTGTCGCATGAGTGTCGCGAACACATCGGATGAACACCTTTGGCACCGCATGAATGGATGAGCACATCAGGGGATGATGTTCCAGAATTCGACCTTGCAGAGTGACTGCCATTGCTGATCTCCAATCCACCCAAACATACCCCCAAACCATACGTGAAAAAAAACATAGAAAAGAACAACATCTAGCCTTCTTAGCTCCAACACACTTGATGAACATGCTGTCCACATACACAAAATGATTAAGTCTAGTACCTTATTTGTTTCTCAAGCTTTTCCAGTCTGTCAAACCAACAGAGGTTGAAGAACCCTAGTTCGACTATCCCATAGGTATATACCCCAGGTGACGGGTCCTATTTACGGTCGCTCAAACTCTCTTGGAAGGGCTGTTTGTCAAATGCTGTTGGCCAGGTGGAGTCCATGACACTTGCGCAGCTGAAGGAGAAGGCCAAGGAGACCAGCTGAATGCCACGGAAAAATCCTAAGGT